GTTATTCTTGTTATGATATTTTGGACTATTAAATATCGATAATAGCAAAAAGGATTTTTAACTGTAAATGTTGCATAATATAGATTATATATACATATATAAGAATAAAAATTTATATAATACATATATAATAGCATAATAAAATTATAACAAATTATGTGTATTACAGGTGCCCGTTTTGGTAAGAGTGAGGATGAGCTTCGTCAGCAAGCTCAGCAATCACGTACGTGTGCAATTTGTTTTGCATTTTTTTTATAAACTTTACCAAATTACCAATCACATTGAGTTTTACAAATTATAATAATGTACATATAATCCGTTACTGCAAAAAAAAATTGATATGTAAATGGGAGTAAAATAATCACTCGTAGCAAATAGAATGTTTATCTATCGTATGCTTGTGGGTTTTGGACAACGCAACGTTGTTTTTAACATAAGTTGAAAACACAATTTACTTGGCCGAATATATTCGGCAGAATTCAAACACTGTGTGTTTAAGTCTGCGACTGGCTTGTATCAACGACAAAAGCAGTCGTCTAAATCTGCTGAAACGCGGCCATTTGGTCACCGAGCTAACGAAAACGTGAAATAACGTGTTGTCAACATATGTTATCAACAATATTGCGTTCGTTCTAAAAAAAAAACAAAATGCAGTTATATTACAAATATCACAAATATTTGAGTGATAGTTTATGTTGTCTTATACATATATCTAAAAAAAAAATCTCATAAATTTTGACGCGTTGAGGAGAACAAGATTTATAGCGAAAGTTCCTTTCTTATATTCTTGTCGCTTCGCTACGTTGCCATGTGATTGTATCAAATAGATTTATTATTTTATAAAATCTACGATATATTATATACATACTATACATTTATTGTAAATAAAAATAACTTTACATCATCGATTTAAAATTTCATCCAAATAAAGTTCAAAGCGTTACAGGAAATCGCACACACACATATATATGATACACAGCATGTGTCCTCACGTGATCCTCAATTAATCTTCGATTCTGACGAGCACACCGTTAGAGAAAAAACTTCGGTACGGTTTCGCGTACTATATTTTGCGTACATTAACACATTATCGACCGGTAGCCGATTAATCGGCTTTTTGTCGCCAACGCTTACCGACCGGTAGCCGATTAATCGGCTTTTTGTCGCCAACGCTTATTGACCGGTAGCCGATTAATCGGCTCCGTGGCCGGTCGGACGTGCGTATGCTGTTGAAACGCTATTGGTCGGTAAAGTGTTAAAAAATACAAATTTCTTTTTTTTTCTTTTCGTTATAGCCTCTTTCGTAGAGTCGAAACGTTTTTGTCTCAACGTCAAAAACTAGATTACGAAATGTGGAATGGCGGAAGTGGGAACAGGTCGCTCGTTTCAATTCGCAGAACCTTCTTCATGTCGGTTCTCGCCAAGTAAATAGGTATGTTACCGAACTCGGAGATGACCTGTCTGCACACGCCGCACGGTGTTGTGAACGAAGTCGTCGCGTCCTGTTCGGCAACCACCGCCAATGCCAAGAACTTTCTTTTTCCTTCCGAAACGGCGGTCGCAATTGCCGTGGTCTCGGCGCACACACCCGCCGGAAAGGATGCGTTTTCCACGTTGCAACCCCGAACGATGCTACCGTCGTCGCATCGCATCGCGGCGCCGACCTTGAACTTGCTGTACGGCGAATACGAATTCTCGCGCACCGCCGCGCTCGACTTCAACAGCTCTTGAATGTCCGCGTCTGCAAAACACGAGTCGCTCGGTAAACCGTTTTTTTTTGTTTTTTTGGCTTATTAAAAGATAAACTTATGATATGAAACAAATATTTTATTCATATAAATATTTTCGGATATATAGTATAACTTCTGATTGATAGGATATGGGATGAAGATTTGGAGAAGAATAAAGAAGAGATTCTGGAGAAATTATGGAAGGAAAAAAAGAGAAAAGAAAAAGGGAGTTGAAAAGAAGGAAACAAGAGTTAATGAGTTAAGACGAAAGGGTTCTTAATATTAAGAGTAAGAGCAATATAACACAATGATTAATAAATATTCTGTGATTTAGGTGTAGGTGTATATAGCCAGATTAGCTTAGGATAAGGATAAAAAGATTAAATATAAGGATAATTGATTTGATTTAATTTATTTAATTTAATTTAACATGATTTGAGTGGAGTTAATTTAAGGGAATTGTAAAAGTAAGTGTAAATAAGCGAGAAATAAGTGATATTTAAGGCATGGAAGGATGTGTGAGATTTAGACTTATTGTAACCAAGTACCCTTCTTGGCCATATAGGCTGAAGTGTTTAAATAAATAATAAAAATAGTATAACTTCGATTAATCGGTTTAAATAACAAAAATAACATAAAAACAATATTGTATGTAATGTTACACGATACGTACCCGGTAAAAAATTTTCTATGTATAAAATTGTATGGACATATTCGGTATATAAATTTGCATAATTAGATATAATTATTTTAATTTGTGTATAAGTATATATAAAACATTTTTTACCGGGTCACTATGATGACACAAATGAGTGGAATCTGATGCAAAAAGTGCTGATGCAAAAAGTGCTGAAACCTGAGCGCATACTGCTGGCATGCTACTATCATCTAGCTATCGCGATTAGTAATAACGAATGTGATCAGGAAAAAAATCGTGTTTCTCAAACTTTAAAGTATTTTCTAAATTAGCGCTTCGCGGCTTATTGATTTCTTTATTTATTCGTTATAATAATTATATTTGTTGAAAATTTTATTGAAATTTGTTCTAATAAAACATGTAATTTTCATATTTAAAAAATCGTTTAAATTTTGACTAACAGTAATAGGAACGCTGTCTAATAACTAGGTCTTTTTTACCATAATTTGACGTAATCTAAACTAAAAAACATGAAGCATTTAACAAGAAATATTGAGTAATTTTTTTTAAATCTAATAAAAATGTGTATGTACGTATACACAGAGTTTACAATTCCGAAATATATGTAAGGCCTTACGAGCCATTCCCGGGATGTTGAGCGGAAACTGTACGTGTATATATATATATATATATATATTTATTTATTTATTCTTATATATAATATATAAGAATAATATAATATATATAAATATATATTAATTAATATATATTAATATATTAATTAATATATAT